AATAAAGACAGATAATTTAAAAAACCATTTCCCCAACATCTCTGACAATGAAGCATGCTTTATATGTGCTGTAGAGGTAAAGAATGAAACATATTTTTCAGATGTGGTCAATCTGTTGAGATGTTTTTCACAGTCAACCACTTTTTCTTTCCCTAAAAGGAAGTGTTCCTATGGCTGGTGGTGGAAAGAGTATGAGTTGGTAGGGAATAACACAATCACAAAAACATAAAAAATAAAGAAAGGAGCATTAATGAAACAGAAATACAAAGAAGAAAAGTCAAAGAAGACAAAAGGGAAATTAGACAATTTTATTAACATATTAAATTTCATATACTTTTTTTTAAAGTAAGCTTACATAAGTTCAGTTTAATACACAATCCTTTTTCTGTTGTTGCTCTCTATATACTGAAAAAGAAATAATCAACAACAAAAAAAGAAAAGGGGTTATTAGAAGAACTTGGCAATTTCCTAAAACAGCCCATTCTTATTCTCCTGTTCAACCATGGACCAGCACACCATCCCTTTGCAGTGGCTTTACTAATTATCACTCAAGAGTTTGGCTAAAAAAAAAAAAGTTTGGTCTGACTATCCACGCAAGAAAAACTGAAAGGATGAAAAATGCTAACATGTCCATACTACAATAAGCAATTGTACTGACAACCTATAGAGCTTATCTGATTGTAAACATAAATTTGTACATCCATGATGAGATACAATAACTGTTGTTCACAAGGTGAGATTAAACTCATGTGATGCCATCCGATTCCCAAAGACTTAATTACAATTCAAACGCTTGCTTAAACACTGAGTACATTTTAATTGTATTCTAATTTTTAAATCTTTCAGTTATGCATAATATATGTGTGTATATATATGTATATATATATACATATATATATATACACACACACACACACACACACACACACACACATATATATATATGTATGTATGAAAGTTCTCTATTAACCAAAATGTTGGGTTAACCACAACATTCCACTTACCAGCTAAGCTAAATGAGTGAGGTTTGCTGTACATGAGCTGTGTGAAGGTAAAGACAATCCTGGCTCAGTCCCTTCTTGGCTGTGTAATTAAGTAAGTCGTTTAATTGTTCTAAGGAGGTTTCTTCATTTGTTAAATAGCAAAGTACTTTATCTTACAGAGTTGCATGAAAAGTATTTCGTAACCACAAAATATCATATTGTGCTGTTCAGTCATTTCAGTCATGTCAGACTTTGTGACCCCATTTGGAGTTTTCTTGGCAAAGACACTTAGAGTGGTTTGTCATTTCCTTCTCCAGTTCATTTTACAGATGAGGAAACTGAGGAAAACAGGGCTAAGTGACTTGTCCAGGGTCACACAGCTAGTAAGTGTCTGAAGCTAGATTTGAATTAAGGAAGATGAGCCTTTCTGACTTCAGGCTCAGCACTCTATCCACTGCTATTCATCTTAGTATGTCTCCTCCTGCTAGCAAAAATGTTCTGTGCTCAATAAATGCTAACTGAACTGTTCAAAGTAACTATGTACAAGGTGAAATAGCTTTAGGTCTATTCACTATTCAAATATGCAATTAATTCTTAATTGTTAATAGACCCAAAACATTCAATGACCACAAAAACAAAATTGTTAACAAGACTGAAACTATTGAGCCTAATTCTAGTAAAATCATATTACAGAAAATATCACTAAAAAAACACTTGAATCAACTCTCTATTTTTATATTTAAAAGTATGATTATGAACTGAGAAGAGAGATGAACTCTTATTTTCTGTTTAGCTTTTAAGTTACAATTACCTTAAATTCTTCTCAACCTTTCTGTCAGATATTCCAGACTTTTATCTCATCTGCTTCTTCCCCATCTCCAAAACTAATACATGGAAACAAGGGGGGGGGGGGAAGAGAGGGAAAAATATATTTCCAGTTCAGCTTTCTTCTCCTTAGTTCATAATCATACTTTTTAATTTATGCATAAGAATTATAAAATTCACACATCAGAAATACTAGATAAAAAGAAATCTTTAAAAAGGAAGAGAGATGATTTGTTAGAATAGTTATGCCTATTTACCACAAAATTATAACTAGAAATACTATTTGTGATATTTGCCTTTATCCATCTCAGAAATGAACAACCCCCCCCCTACATTTTAAATACCTAAAAGCAGAGTTTAATTTCACTTAAAGGTAATCAATTGGGTCGATGGCAAGATTTTTCAATCTGACATCTTAGTTGTTCTCTTTGTTCCCCCCCCAACCCCCACCCCAATCCATGAGCTTTAATTACTTAAAGGCAGCATGAAGAGATGGACAGAATACTTTGATGTGAAGTCAGAAAGCCCTGGGTTCCAATCTTGACTCAGACATTTAATTGTATGACAAGTCACTTAAATTCTCTCAACTTCAGTGCTCTCATCCACAACAGGAGAATAAGAGCCTACCTCATACGATTATTGATCAAATGAGATAAAATAGGTAAGGTATTTTTCAAAACTTAAAGTGCTATATAAATGTGAGCTATTATTATTACTCAATATGATATTACTATATGCTTGGGTAGGTCATAATTTCCCTTTATCAGTGTTTCTTTATCTATAAATGAAATAAACTAGGATGATCTACATGGTCCCATCTGGTTCTAAAATTCTGTATTTCCAATTCAAAGTTCACTTCTCCCTGTAACTTGAGACAATAAAAAGTTGGTTCACAACATGACCAATACGGAAATATGTTTTGCATGACTGCACAGATATAATCTATAACTGCTGGTCATCTTAGAGATGGGAAAGGAAAGAATCTGGAATTCAAAATTTAAAAAAACCAACAAATATATTGTCTTTACATGTAATTGGGGGAAGATATTTTTTAAAAATAAAATAATAAGTCTTCCTAAAAAAAAGCTAGAAACAATATTGATCAATTAGCCCAAATTTATACTATTTCCTTTATTTTGAGGCAGTGCAGTTTGTATACATTTCCTTTATACATATTTGGAGAATGTATTCTACATATATGAATGAGTTAACAAAAAATACTTTTAATAAATTCCATTTTTAGTAAGTATGACTATGTTAGATATGAACAAAGAAGCTACACAAACAAACCTAATCAAAAGTAATTTCATTTTGACCTCTGAATACAGCTATATTAATTATGCCTATCCTCAACACAGGAAATAAACGGAGACACAATAAAAGGCAGGAATGGTCTTGTGTCAGCTGACCTTACTGGATGCTTATGGATTGAATCATCTTCATCCAAACTGGGGGAAGGGAAAAAAGCAAGAGAAATCAATAATATTTCATACTTCAAACAGCATCGTGGATTTTTTCAAATGACCATTTCTCTGGGGAGAAAATTATTTTCACTACGCAAATTTGTATATCAAAAAAGATTTTCATTTATGTAGCTGTGTTAAACGAATGTCCCTCTGGCATTATTTTATGTGCATACAGACATTTTAAATATCCATCCATATATTTATACTACAGTCAGGGTTGGCTTGTTTGCTGCCCACAACTCACCCTACTATAAATACGTTTTATCTTAAACAGTAGAGAACAAAAACACACCACTACTCGAGACCATAAAAATTTTCCATTAAAATCTGGAAGATTTCTTTTCTAAAAGCTAAACACTTCAGTGTAAATCTTAACAAAAGCTTCCTCTTATTAAGCAATTATATAATAATTGTATACTCTAGGTAAACTTTAATAACATCTTGCCATAGGAGCACGGAGTTAAACTATTCTGCCCATAGTATTCTCAACTACAAGTTATAGTTCTGTTTTCACTTGCCTTATTAGGAAACTGGTCCAAATTCCTAGGAATGCTTTTTATTTGGTTATTTTAGGAACAAAAGCTGAAGACTTTGCTACAGGCAGCCAAGTTCTTTCTTTGTCTTAAAGGATCCTTTCAAGCTTTTGGTAAGGCCCAAACCACATGAATGATATTCTGAGCACAACCAATAAGTCAACTCATGTTTTCAGCATGTACAAAATACTTTGTTCACTAAAGCAATGTTTTCCTTTCTCAGAACTAATCCCCAAGTTGAATATGCCCAATTCGTGCACTGATTCCTATAGATAAACTCGATCAGTGTGTCCATAAGAACTCCTCTTTCCTTCCTATTGCCACTATTTTAAGATTTACTCCTCTTCCCCCTCCCCTGGCTTCTTTCAAGGACTCCCAGTCCACCTGCTTTCACACTTCCTCAGGTGTAGTCCAGCAAACGTAGTGTCAAAGGAACAAGGAAAGGAGGAGAGAGAAGAGCGAAGGGAATACTCCCATAATCTCTTATGTCCTTTAGCATTGTTTTCAACAACACCTTCTTCCCTTATTCCATCTCTTCACCTTCTTTCCTCTCTTACATCCTTGAGCTCTTTCTTCAACAATAGCCTCTTCCCCAACTCTATCTCATCTTCCATTCACAGATGGAACACATAGCTAGTAAGTGTTATGCACCCTACTCTTCATTCTAAAATTCCCAGTTCCCTCTGAAAGAAATACTTGAGGCAGATCTTCTTGTTAAATGTAGATAAAATCTAATCAATTCCTTTTTTGCCTCCAAAGATCCATAAATGACACCTACACGTGACTTTTTCTTTCCCCAGGGAGTGTGAGAAAACGGAAAGGGTGGTGAGGGTCTGAACAAGAGGGAATCCTTTTACTTCTTGGTTTCTTTCCACATTTGATTCAGAAGAACAAAAATCTAGGGAACACCAAAGAGTGATATCCTTGTTTCAAAAAGAGAAGAGGTAGGATTGTACTCTTCCAAAATGAACCATAGAACAAAGACAAGAAACAACTGAAGGCAACAGACAGTGGCAGGTAACAGAACGTAAGCTATTAAGTCGATCCCCTCCATCTGAAGGGATGAAAGGAAGGCGGGCAAAGCACAAAGCTATTAAGGACAAAGAAGCATCCACAAGGTTTACATGCAAAAGGACCTGCTCTTCACCCCCAGTTCCTCACCTCATCCCTCATACCACACCACCGTATCTTACCTCTCAGAAGTGAGAAGCCAGGGAAATCCTCCATCCCAATATGAGCAGATGAAATGAACGATGTACAATATGTGATTTTTTTTCTTATCCTATGAGCTTTTGGCAGAAAAAAAAAAAGTCAGGAAGTACAGACTTGTCCGGGGCAATCTTTACTGACATATTTTGACATCACCAAATGCAAAAGTTCATCTGCCACAGAAGCACTGTCATGCATGATGTTCAGGTCCTAAATATTATTATAAAACTCAACTCCAGGATTTCCTCCAGAATTTGTGAAGCATGCTACCTATATTTTTGCCACCAGATGTTCACCCAATCACCTATACTCAAAAGCTTGATATTACTTTTCATTTTTTGAAGACTTGGTATCATCTTTCACATTTTGCTTTTTCCTTCTCTCCCTTCCCTTCTGCCATGTAAACTAGTTGTCCTCTTGAATGCAGCCCAATTCCCTATTATTCCCATTGTCACTTCCTAGTAGAGCCTTCATTACCACCTGCCTGGCTTAAGTACAAGAGGCTCTTAGTCATCCTCCAATTGGCATGCCCTTCCCTACAATCATCCTTCCACACAGATATGATCACCATTCTACTGAAAACTCTTCAATTGCAACCAACAGAAATGTTCAATAAGCTCATATTCATGTACTGCTTTGAAATCAACAAGGTCCTCCACTATTTGGCACCAAATTTTGCTGTTTAAAAAAAAACAGAATAAGATTACCAATGGAACTGATTAGGTAAATAAAATCCAAAAGCAACAGAACAGAGGAGCAGTATTTAATAAGCCCAAGGACCTCAACTATTGGGCATAAGACCTCCCTATTTGACAAAAATTGATAGAAAAATGGGAAAGAAATGAAGCTTAGATGAACATTTTATATCCCATACAGTAACAATAAGCTCCAAAAAGGGTCATATCTTAAGAGATGTGACCAAGGCACTATCATCCTCCCAATCTCCCAGGTTTGTAACCTCAACATTGTCCTTGATTCCTCATTGGTAAATCTTGTTATTTCTACTGCAACAAAATCCCTCATGTCCAGTTCTTTCTCTCCCACCACCTATATTCAGGTATTCATCAGCTCTTGCACAAATTACTGCCCACAATCAGTCTAGTCCGTCCTATTCATTCTGCCAAATTTGACCATGCCACACAACTAAATCAAATAGAAACACCTCTGTTACGCTTTTAAAACCCTTTGAAACCTGACCCTAACCTACCTTTCCAGTCTCATTAGGCATTACTCCCCTTCCCACCTTCTACTATTCAGTCAAACTAGCCTTTTCTGCCTTCCTCACAAAAGAAATTCTCTCTTGTTTCCAGGGCCCTATGTATTAAATTTAATGTAATTTTTAAAAATCTACATATTTATAACTTCATAGTCTCATATACAATTTTCTTTTTCTGTTCTTTGTCAAGCAAAATGTTTCTATTTATTATTAGTGTTTATATTTATTGAGAATTGTCAAATTCACAGAAAAACTTTTTTTTAAGACACAGATCAGTAGAGGGAACAGCCAAGGGCAAAGCATGAGAAGGAGTAAGTCTAAGGGGAGATGTAACCCACACCATACTGATTAACTGAATGAATACTCTCCTCCAAACATTTAGTTTCTGTTATTCTACTTTCAGTTATCTCAGGCCAAGGAGATCAAAGGAACAGGCCGCCATCAACTCATTTAATTATTTAAAATTTGCATTAAGTATAGGCCATGAAAAATAGATGATTTTTCATTCTGCTGGGGTTTTAACAGTTATTTTTTAAGTAGGTTAACCTAAAAATTTACCAGTGCTTTTAAATTCTAGTTTAACTCCCCTTGAGTTCAAAGGCATATGCCTCCAGCTGCTGTTAATAATTCTTTAAGTGAAAGGTACTAGGGATGGGAGGACTGCATAAGAAAAGGAAGGGATATCCAAACAGAATCCATATACCAGTTTCTGCAATAGCAGCATCGTAGGTAATTTTTTTTAAAGTTTCCCTCACTACTATGCACATCAAAAGGAAAATGATGATTCAATGAGGTTTTCTTTTTAAAGAAAAATCTAAAATAGAAACATATAAAAATATAAAAATTTAGAGTTCAAGTAGAGACTATAGAAATGCTATAGAAAAAACTTAAAATGCTATAGAAACCACTTAAGTATTTTAGAGAGGTAGTTGTTGAAAAAGTATACATTTGAAAAAGTATATGTATCAATTTCCTTTCTTACAATTTATTTTTTAAATGGGTCACTTATTTGCAAACTGCAACATGGTTTTGCTATCATAATACCAGCTATCATTTATATAGTGCTTTATTACATTTATCTCATTTTATCCTTATAACAACCCTGGGAGGTAGGTATTTTCATGTCCATTTTACAGGTGAGGCTGACAAGTTAAGTGACTTCCCCAAGGTCACACAGCTCATGAGTGCCTGAGAAGGAGAATTAAACTCAGGCCTTCTTGAATCCAGGTATCTGTTGTACCACTTAGCTACTTATGTAAAAATATTATAAACCAGTTAGGTCCCCACTCTAGCCCATAACCAACCAATTATCCCCTGTGTACCTAAAATACTGACAGCACAGTGTGGATAAAGCGGGCGGTAGGCCTGGGGTCAGGAAAACCTGAGTTCAAATCAGACCTCAGACACTTATGACCCTGGGAAAATCACTTAAACCCTCTTTGTCTCAGTTTCCTCATCTACAAAATGAACTGGAGAAGAAAATGGCAAACTATTCCCGCATCTTTACCAAGAAAACTCCAAATGGGGTCACAAAGTGTTGGACAAGAGTGAAACAACTGAGGCAGCTAGGTGGTGCACTGGATAGAGCACCGGCCCTGAAGTCAGGAGGACCTGAGTTCAAATCCGGCCTCAGACCAAACACTTGACACTTACTAGCCGTGTGACCCTGGGCAAGTCACTTAACCCCAATTGCCAAAACAAAAACAAACAAACAAACAAACAAAAAGACAAACGACTGAACTAGTTAAAATACTATGTATTTTCCATTTAAAAAATACAATAAGGAGGAAACATTATCATTCTGTATGTATACTATTTTGGCAACTTCTCACAAATGGATCAGTGATATCATTGATGTGGTCAGTCACTACATCAGTTCAGATTGCAACCCATCCACACATCACAGTGTGGGCAATTTCAATTGCATCATAGGCCAAACAGCCTGGGGTCCTATACTGGATTTTTAAAAAACATTTTAAAATGTTTTCTTTTAAAAACACAAATCGTATACAATAGCAGTTCCATTTCACACATAATCCTGTTTTTCTGTTCTTTGTATATGGATGTTTGTGTTTGCTGGTATCTGTCATTTGAAATATTTTTTCCCCTACAGTAAAGTTCAAACTTGGAACTCAGGATGTAGTGAATAGTATTTCTCCTAAACAAACCTGATAGAGAACAGGGAAGCAGACCTTTCCTCCCTAGCCCTGCTTCAGCACTGTTCCTCACTCACATCAGCACAGAAAAGTTAGTCCTCCCCATCTCCTACAAGATGACCAGTCATGCATAAAGTTCAGCCGGAAGCCATGTGCTCACATCTCTCTGTTTGCCTGTTCCTGTTCAGCTTAACATTAGTATTATATCTAGCACATCATTACATGAGAATCAGGCAGTCATAGCCTTGACAAGACATCAAGGACCCAATCCCCCTGCCACCCACCAAAGCAAACTTCATCTCTTAGCTCATTTTCTTCCTAGTTCTTTCACAGTCACCAATCTATCTGACAAGTGAACCATACACTCTATGATTCTGAATTGAATTTACTATTTAAGAGAGGTGGGAATATTTATGGTATTTACAAATTTAATCAGATTTTTGGTCACCAGAATAATGTCAAGTTACAGCCCCACCTGGAAGGCTGTCTTTTTTACTTTAAAACACAGTTCAGCATATGTAACTATAATAATTACAATATTTTAAAAACTTATTATAAGTGGGTAAGGTATTAGTTGACATCATTTAACTAGAAATCTGTGTCCTGAGGAGCCAGGATATCAGCGTTTCTTCCCTGTCTCAGTTTTTGCTCCTAAGTCACCATCCTAAGAGAGTTAGCTGCTCGTAAGATCCATAAGGTCCCAGACCACCCGTCACAAATTTATTCACTGAAGGAAACTTAGAGGTCATTAAATCTAACCCCTCTACTTTACAGATAACAAAACTGAGGTTCACATATGTAAACTGACTTAAGTTCACAAAGGAGCCAGAGCTGGGATTTGAACACAAGGGCCTCCTATTATAAATCTTATATTCATTCCACTACAACAGTTAGTGGCAAGATTCAGGGTTTTAAGTTCACTTTCAACCACTTTATAGCATTAATTATTTTCATTATCTTGCCCCCTAAACTTTCCCCTTCTCCAACCTTCCCTATCACTATAGAGGGCAACACCATTCTCCAGTTCCTCAGCTTCACGACTATCCTTGACACCTCACTATCTCTGTTGCTAAGGCCTGCCAAAATCACCTTTGCAGCATCTCTAATATGCCTGTTCTCCTCTGACTCTGCCATTACTCACGTACAGGTCCTCATTACCTCATGCCTGGACTATTGTAACAGCCTTCTGGGGGGTCTGCCAGCCTCAAGCCTCTTCCAACAACAATCTACCCTCCATTCAGTAACCAAACCAATTTTTCCAAAGCACAGGCCCAACTATACCTCTCCTTCCTTCCCTCTCTCTCTCCCTCTCTCTCTGTGTCTGTCTGTCTGTCTGTCTCTCTCTCTCTCACACACACACACACACACACACACACACACACACACACACACACACACACACACCCCTCTTAGTAAACCCCAGTGGTTCCCTGTCACCTCCAGGAACAAATACAAAATCCTGTTTTAGCAGACAGGGCTCTTCATGACCTGCCTTCTTACACCTCACCCAAAGACATGTACTCTTTGCTCCAGTGACACTGGCTTTCAAGAACAACACCCTCTGTCTCTCAGCTCCATGCAATTTTCTCTAGCTGTACCCCATGCCTGGAATACTCTCCCCTCTTCATCTCCATGCTGCTTCCTTTAAAGCCCAACTAAATTCCCACCTTCTATAGGAAGTCTTCCCCAAACCCTCTGAATTCTACTG